TCTTAGGAATTCCAATTGAAATTAGTCCTAAATTATACACTTGAACTATACTTGTCCTTTGATGTACTTTAAACCTAAAATAATTGAATTTCAAAGGCTAATAAGATTAGATTATAAAACATATCATTAATAATTTATATTGCTTAAATATTAAATGATCATATTTTGGGTATATTGGCTTACAAATCATATTCTTTTATTTCTCTGACTACTCTTTTCTTATTTTTAATGTGATGATTTTGACATTTTAAAATATGTAGTTCCCTCTGTATCTTACTGGCTAGTTCTGGGCTAGTGCTGCTGTGTCTTTATACATGCACTGAGAAGACAGGAAGTACCTGAGGCCCCTGATGTGAACTCATGACTGTCTACTGCCCCTGCGTACAGTGCATCTCACCCAGTGTCGCTGGGCTCAGGTATGGAAAAGACAATACTATGCCTAATACAAATTCTTAAGACAGGAAGAGCTTTAGATTCTTTCTCAAAATGTTTATAATAGGATGAGTTCCACAACATTATTTTCAAGTTATTTATTTCCCAGCATATGAAAATAAATGTAATTCATCTTTTAAAAAAAGACTATTAAACAATTTATTCAGTGATTATGTTTTTTTCATATCAAAGGAAAACATTCAACTTGGCACATTTTGCCTGTAGGTACATACCACTGATGACAAAAGTACAGGTCCTTAGGGACACACCTTGAGTTGCTTGCTTTCCCTTGCCTTCCTGGAAGCTCAAAACCTCTAATCCCACAATCAAAAGATACCCCATGAGTGATGCCCCAACAGTGCCCTGGATGATAGCATGATCCAATTTGCTGCATGCTTCCCTTTATGTACCTGCCTGTGTCATGGCTTCCTCAGCAAGGCAATAAATGTGTTGAGCTTTGTCCATACCTTTGCCCCCAAAGTACATGTAGTTGGTTGTTCAATGCATTTGTTCTGTAGAACAGAGACATGTTTTCCACTAGGAGATGTTCCAGCATCACCATCTTTCCTGATTTTTCCCAAAAGGCCCTGGTAGACAGGAACGCTCAGACCAAATTGGGGCAAGGAGACATTTTGACTTCCCAATTTTATTCTTAGGACCCATTGCTAGGCCTGACAGAATTCTTTCCTACCTCTAATAATTTCCAGACATAAGGCTGCCATAGTCATTGAATAAACTTGGATAATATTGTTTTACTCTCCTCTGTCTATATAGTTTGGCCAGAAATGGTTCCCAGACTACTTAATTGCCTCTGGAGCTACAGCATGAAACTAACGAGCTATTCATTAATGCACCCGTTGTGCAGTCTCTCCTTCCTGTGGCTTCTCTTCCTGGTTTAGAAGCAGAATTAACAAGTTTTCCTCTAAGAGGCATATCTGTCCTGCAGCAGTCAGCTCTTTGAAAATTTAACTTCATCATCCAAATCATTACAGAAAACACTTAACGGCTCTGGGCCCAAACCCTGACACCCACACATCCCATCGGCGGGACCGTCAAAGGCAAATGAATCACCAGCACAAAGTACTTTTTGTATTTGGCTTCCAAATAGGGGGGTTTGAGCCACTGAGGGTCATTAGACTTTTGCAAATTAAATTCTCCCAAAGATGAATTTCACTAATACAGTTGAAGGACAACGTGTGTTCCTGAGAGCATATGCTAATCACTGAGGGACAAAAACCTATATTTGCTGAGAACATGAACAGACTATCCCAAACTGGCTCCTTTTTCTTCCTATTTATCATCATGTCCACTAAGAATCAGACATAGGCTTCAAACTGCTGTGCATACCAATGCCATGCACCACCTCATTTTCTTTTCAGCTGCATATCCCTGCTACCTCCATTTCCCGAACTAACTCTAAGGAAGCACTATATTTTTTCCCACTTCTTTAGCTGAAGCACTGTGTCTGAAAGTAAAATGCCTTCAGGGTCCAGACAGTTAAAGTGTAAAGTTACTGTGACAGGTAATGGAAGAGACTGTAGCAAATCGGAGATTCGGCCTTATTAGAAGGATGCAAAGGTGATTTCAAAAACACACCAAGTTTACATTGGTCAAATGAAAATACACTGATTTAGGTTCCACTGAAAAATGGTCAGTTGTGACTCAGCCTTTAAAGCATTTCATTCAACCTCCTTTGTCAGGTCTGAATCTGAATTTGAATGTGGGGGTGAGGAATGGAGGTAGAGTGTCAATCACTGCATTCAATCCCTTGTGATTTGAATATCCTCCATGCCTGTCTGATTGAGAGTGGACAAATTCAGCATTCGCCAGTTCTCACATACACCTTCCCCATAAAATAGATGGCATCAGGCTACGTCCATTCCATTTCATGCTCCCGAAGTGCTTTCCTACGCAGCAAGTGCATTTGCTGCAAGCTGCAGATCCAGATCACACTAGGAAAAACTCGGTGTGATCTGCAAAGGAATCTATGTGTCTGGTGCTTACAGCTGTCTGCAGACAAAGGCTGCCTACCTGCTGAATTTCAAGTACTCCCAGCTTCTCTCCACGGCTATTTTGATCACAGAATGCAAGCACCTTCAGTCACTGCCAAAGCACTCAGGAATCCTGCCTGTCACACGCCTTTCACTGGATGTAAGCAAGGCAGGCAACTATAATTCACTAATTTTGCCAGAAAGCTGCTATCAGAAGCTGGGCAACGATTTTATAGGACTCTGTTGCCTCTGTCATTATTTGTTTTTGTATCCTCCCAACACACATTTATAGAAAACTCTGGGTCTGATGTTGAAGTAGTTGAATCCAAGTTCAAATTCAGAGAAAAATGCAGATGAAGACATTTTAAATCATATTTTAACTGAGGTTTTAGTGATCAAGTGATATTGGTAACAGTGACCTCAATATCTCTCCTCCCCCTTATCTATACACAGTGGGACCTCTGATTGTTGGCTGGGTTCATGATTTCCAAAAAAGAGAAATATTTCAAAGTCTTTTTGCAGTTGATTATGGCAATGTGACTGAATTCTGGTTAGCAGGGCATCTAGTCTAAATGTGAGAGAAAAAAATATACACAGTTTCTTGGCAGCATCATTTTAGGAAGATGGTCTAGTCCTTTCTGCTTTTCTTCTCCCTGCTGGCTGCAATTAAAGTGGTGATGCTAAGAGCTGAAGCCACCATTCTGTGCTATAAAATATTTAATTCTGGGAATAGATGTTAAGATGTGCAGCAAATGTATGAGGGAACAAGAAGATGGGAGGAGTCTGTCATCCCTGGTTCCAACTATCTGGGCATTCACCAGAGAGAGAAGTGGGCATGGATCTTGTTTACAATACCTGGCCAGGGGACGGGGAAGTTGTGGGGGAGGGTTATATGGCATCACAAAGCCCAACCTACCCCAAACCAGTGTCAGGAAAACCAGCCAGATGCAAAAAAACAGGCCTTTACCTTTATGCTGAGACCAGCTCATTGCTTCTGTTACCTTTGTGAAGTACAAGGAGATCAAGCATCATCACTATTTTACTGCGGGAATCTTCTTCAGAAATTAAAAAAGATATGAGAGGCACAGAAAATGCCCAACAACTGGCTCAGTCCCCAAATGCCTGCATGAGCCAGGGAGCCAATACCAGGAGCCGGGAACTCAATCCAGTTTCCCCAAAGGGCTGGCATGGACTGAATGACTCAGGTCAATACCTGCTACACCTAAATTGTGCATCAGCAAGAAGCTGAGGTTAAAAAAACAAAAGCTGAAACCAGGGATCAAAGCCAGGGACTCTGATGGGGTCATATTCGATTCTGGGAATAGAAGCGTCAAATGTCTGCCCTCAAAAAGTCTGAGTTAAGCTTTTCATTTCATCTTCTTTCATTCTATCTTGATCCCCCACAAACTGCTTCTCTATCCAGGTCTCCAGCAGCCACATCCCTTGTCTTTTGTTTCTGTCATCATGCTTTTACTTGTTTTGGTGAGTTGCGTCAGAGTATGAGAACATAAGGACAGCAGATGTCTCTTTTATAGCCACCTTTCTCATTTATAATACAAAACAATGTTCTACTAAAGTTTAAGACACTCTGTAAGCTCCACAATTGAATTAATTTGAAGTATTCACTGTACCATTTCCTGTATTTTAAAATATCAGATGTTTCTATTACTTAGAGAAATTATCTGTATATAGGAGTGAATTACGATACTCAAATACAAAAACTACTGAAGTGGGAGTTCAGTGTAGTGGTTAAACTGCTTGGGACATCTGGCTACTCCACTCTTGATCCAGCTTCCAGCCAGTGTGTATCCTGGGAAGTAACCAACAATGGCTCAAGCTCTCCATGAGGGAGACCCAAATTGAGTTCCAGGCTCTTGGCTCTGGCATGGCCTGTCCCTGGATGTTGTGGACACTTATGGAATGAACCAGAAGAAAGAAGACCTCACTGCCACTGTATCTATATCTCTTTCAAACAAAATGAAAACAAACAAATAAAAAAATAAGAACTCTTGGCAAGGAGGAAGAGGGAAATTCAGGGACTGTTTCACCTTTCTGCAAAACTTTACATATGGGGTTAAGAGCTTTTTCCTGGAGAGAAGGTCCAAACCTTCCCCAGAAGTAAAACAAAATCAGGACCCCTAATGTCCTACAGAAAAATCTTTGATCTTTGGTTAAAGTTGGTTGCTGGGTTGGGGTAAGAGGAGGAATGATGATTCCATTTATAAAGAAGAGAAACCCATTATACAGAGTTATGAAAATTCTAAAGGTTTTTTTTCTTTTTAAGAATTAATTTTCTCCCCATCATTTCAATAAAGCTCTAGCCTTCCACCCCCAAAAAACAAGCAACCAACTGAAAAGCTCAAAGATACACAGGAAATAACTGAAGCAATGTTTTATTGCAACCACAAAGCACCAATTCAACAAGGCATTGACACACAGAGATTGAACAAATGTCTCTTTGAACAGAGATGTAGCAAGCCCACTTTTTCAAGTTATTAAAAACAAGTACTCAAACCAGGAATCAAACAAAGCATAGAACAATTTAAAAAATATAACACCATCATGAAGGAATGTATATATAAAAATATTCTGTACTAGCAACAAGGCTTTTTGAGCTATAACTTGCTAAATTTCTTCAAGAAACAAATTATAAATACAAATCATAAAGTTAAGAAAACACTTTCTTCAGAAACAAAGAACCAAGTTAAACAAATCTAAGCAGAAAACACCATTAACCCCTATGAAAGCTAGCTAAATATGGGTGATTTTCCCTAGGACACAAGAGTTTCTCTTTTCAGAGTTACAACTCCGCTCCTGAAGGGACCATGATGCACGTTCATTTCAAACATTGCAGCATATCCAATGAAACCTTAATAAGGTCAAGTGGAAGACCCTCTATAGAAAAGGGTTTGGCAATGCCATCCAAGTAGCACATGCTCTAAGGAGCAGAATCTAAGGGTAGCAACAATCCCTGTCTTTCTCATCCCCTCCCCAAGTTTCTTGTTTTTAACTCTTTCTAGATATAACTAAAAGATACTTTCTCCATTCGATTTTTTTAACAAGGCTTTCTTTGGGGGAAAAAACTCTGAAGAAATAAAATTCTTATGGTTTCAAACCCTTTGTGGGGAAGGGCATTTGATCACATCAGAGGGTATCCCTCTTGATAATCTACAAGAAAAACTATCCCAGGGACATCTTGCCCTTGCTCCCCCTGACTCAGTTAGAGTCAGCTGATGGATTGCCTAGTCTATCCAATAGGATAACTTATTATTTGGTTGAAATTCTTTACATATACACATGTATGTATTGTGTTTACAAAGTTTCATCACATGAAACTAAATTATGTCATCATGTATTTTTTGAGGTCTAATGCCCCAATTTACGGTACTACGAAGAGTTGTTCTTTAAATGCTTCGTCTGCAGAGGTTTTACATGATATTCATAGATTTTCAGAGCAGGTCCCAGTTTTAGCTGAAGTCCTGTCAACACATCATTCCTTGTCATCAGTAGCAGGGATTTTCCGTCAATTTCCTAGAAAGGAATGAGATGGGTAAAGCCAATATGTTAACTTCAAAAACACAAGGTTAATGAAGGAAAAAAGGAAGTTGAACAGCAAAAGTCATGCCAATTGTCTGCAAGTTAAAAACATGCTTGTTTTAGTAGTGTCAACATAGTAAAACATGAAAACAACTGTTTTCATATCCTTTTTCTTATATTTTGAAAGTGACCATAACCCATAGCTAATCTTGTTTTCAAGATCACATATTTAGGTGGGTCTCAGGACGGGGAGTCTCATGCCTGGATCCCAGACAGCCGCCATGTGCACATGGTGAGCTGTTCCCCGGGCCTGCTGGGTTCCAGGGGCCGCTCCCTTCGGGGTGAGTACACCAAGGGGGGTGTCTCCAGGACTGGGCAGGTCCGGGACCCACCCGCCTTCATTGGGCAGTGAATGGGATTTGGGAGGGGCGCAACCTTGGGCCTGGGAATTTAAACCTCCAGCAGCCTCCCAGCAGCTGGTGGGTCTCAGGACGGGGCGTCTCATGCCTGGATCCCGGGCAGCCACCATGTGCACATGGTGAGCTGTTCCCCGGGCGGGGAGCTCTGGGGATTTGGTTGAGTTGCTGCTTAATTAGCTCCAGGTTGAACCCATTGTGCTTCTTGGACCTGAAAAGGGCAGTAACTCTTCCTTTGTAAAACTTGTAATCACTAATAATGCTGAGCACCAAATACCAGTCCATGCAGAAGCTATGGCTTGGGGCTTGTCCTGCAAAAGTAGCTCCAACAGCTGGCTAATGTGTCAACTGGTAATGGAACAGAGTAGATCAGGCACGACTGAGCAAACCTTAGTCCACAAGTAAAACTAGAAACCAGGAGGGAACAGAGGTCATGCCAAGCTAGGCTCTTGTATCTACTGGTCCACATGAGCCAGGGAGGCGAAGCCACAGTGTCTAAGGCAGAGTTCGGGACAGGGGAGGGGCTGTGCCAAGCTGAGTCAGAGCATCCACTGGCAGGTGAGTGATCTATGGCTGGGAACAGACCGGGTTGGGGAGCAAAGGGGACAACCCTAGCTGGGCTGAGGTTCCCACCAAGGGGCGCGTGGCCTGGAAGGGGGGCTGCGTTCTGGTCTGGATACAGTTGTAGTCTCCCTTGGCACAAGTGTGGACTGGGATTGGATGCACAGAACCGGGCCAGACCCCAACACCCCCTGGTGTCCTGGAGGACCAGGGCAGATGTGGGATGGACTAGGCAAGGTCTCAAACCCCTACTGAGCCATGTGTGAGCCATACGTGGGTATGGACAAACCATGGCTGGACTGGAACATCCAACAGCAAGAACCAGATTGGGTGGAAGGCCAGTCAGGAAAAGCCACAGTTCCTTCTATGACAGGAGGTGGACTGAGTAGGGTTGGCTCATGGACCCACTGGTAAGCGTGAAACCTGGCATTGGGAGAGGTTCTGATGGAGGAGCCTGGGCAACTCCTCTGGCAGGACACAGACCCGGCAGGTAAGCGCAAAAAACATGATAGGAACCAGCCCAGAAAAGGCCATGGAAAGCTACACATTGGCATACAATTGGCAGATGTGGGGGCAAGACCAGGCTGAATCTGTCCACGTCATCCACTGGCAAATCCAAGCACCAGTGTGGGTCGAGCCAGGTTCGGTCACAACAAAGACTAGTGCACAATATGGAATGCCGAGGTGAGGTTGCCTGTACCGGAAGGGACTGCAGCGCCCAACCAGCGTGAGAACAAGAAAGGAAGTGGGCAGAGTCGGCAGGGGCAATAAGGGAGGGTTCCTTTGCTGGACAGCTACTTCTGTAGGAGAGCATAGGCTGGGATGGGGGCAGACCAGACTAGGCAGAGCTACCACACCTGTGTGCCTCATGTGGACTAGATCAGGGAAAAGCCGGGCTCGGCGGATTATTCCTACTGGTGCAAACAAAATTAAAGCGGGCGAGGTTTGTTTGGGCTTAGCCACAGTATCAGCTGGAATCTGGGAGTGGGAGAGGCCTGGGAGGGAAATAGTGGGCTCATCCCTCTTGGGTTACCACTTCCACAGGAGGACATAAAACTAAGACAGCGGCTTAGGTGGAATGGGGTGTGGGACAGACTGGATTACTGCTACACTTACTGGCAAACCAGGGTAGGGGGTGGGCCTGGTGGGAGTTATTGTGGGTCGCTCCAACTAGGCTGCAGCTCCCACTGGTTTATGCGAACGCCAAGTATGTGCTGGGCAGAACCAGGCTGGACTGCAACACCCATTGGTTCCAGTGGAAGTCAGGAGTGAAAACAGAACCAACCCAGCAATTGCAACCACCAGCTGATTGGGGCGATGGACGGTGCCAGGCCCTGTACTTGTTAGCACATACAAGAAGTTTCTTTCGAGATCTTCCTAATCTAAATGCTGGACTCAGAACCCTAACGAAGAAAAGAGAGAAGACAGAACAGGTCAACCAACCATCTCAGCTATGATGGACTATGTCAATCAGCGGATTTTTCGAAGACCTCATAGCGCTTGGAGTGGCAAGATTGACAGCAATTCATAATTGTTGAAATATCAAAACCACTTGAGCAAGAATCTCAGAGCATGCCCTACATGCGGGATCTGGGGAGGGTGGGAAATTGGGTGAGCCTTCTCCCTTAATACCCCCCCCCCTTAAACATGAAGGTAACAATATGGAAAACATACTAGTATTATCCACTTTCCTGTAGCTCTTGAACCTTCTTACCCTAATTAACTATGTAAAGAATGTCAAAATAAAAATTTATTTTAAAAAAAAAGATCGCATGTTAAAAAACATTAACAGACAATTTTCAACTTGTACCCTTAAGGATATAAGGTGTTTTTGGAATAAATAGTAACATGTGGGCCTTTGCAGCAGCGTAGTGGCTAAAGTCCTGCCTTGCATGCACCAGGATTCCATTTGGGTGCTGGTTCTAATCCTGGCAGCTCCACTTCCCATCCAGCTCCCTGCTTTTGGCCTTGGAAAGCAGTCGAGGATGGGCCAAAGCCTTGGGGCCCTGCACCCATGGGGGCCCCGGAAGAGGCTCCTGGCTCCTGGCTTCAGATCAGCTCAGTTCCAGCTGTTGTGGCCACTAGGGGAGTGAATCAGCGGATGGAAGATCTTCCCCTCTGTCTCTCCTCCTCTCTCTCTATATATCTGACTTTACAATAAAATTAAATAACTCTTTTTTAAAAAAGAAATAGTAACATGTTACACTTAAACATATTAAAGTATATGCAGAATTTTCTGGATGCTTAATTGCTAAAATAACTTAAAATGGGCATCAAATATAATTTCTATTTTACTGCAAACTAAGAAACAAATGCGAAGTAAACCTGCATAAGATTGAGAAATTTCAAAGAATCTTGTAGAGTTTAAGTCTCATCTGTTTACAACCACAGCTCAAGTTTTTTACAATCCCCTTCTGCTTCCCTTGACTCCAAGGACTAAACATGTGCTGTATAGATGGCCCAAAGGGACAAGAACCTAGGACTTCTAGAATCTTACTATCTATAAAAATGGATGTTAAAGAAATGACGTACTCTAAGGAAAACCTTTTGGAGGAAAATTATCTTGTCTCAGCTCCAAAATCAGCACCTCCATGCAGCAGGCACTTGCCACATGGTTCTCAATGGGTTCTCAGGACTTCAATGGGGTGGTCAGAGAAGGGCTCTGCCAGCCACAAATCCCTTCCCACTCCTCTCAAGAGTCCATTCCCCATGTTGTCCAAAGCAGAGAGTCACATACACTTCAGTCTAGGCATCCTGGAGACTACAAGGCTTTCAGATAGAGTAAAATGAGCTTCTTATAAATGACATGAAGAATCCACATATTTAGGGTGGTTTGAAGCTGCTGGAAAGCATTAAGAAGCATCAAATACCGCCTTATTTTTACTGTTGCTAACTGTTTGGTTCAGGTTTCTTAACACTCTGAGCTTGTTCTTAAAGATGTGGGTTCAGGACATGAACCACCTGTGTAATATCAGTTGAACCTGAGTGTTTCTGAATCCTTTACCCCATGCTTCTGCACTTCCCTCTGACAGGGCACATGGTAGTGCTGCAACTAGGAATCCTCCTACATCACTCTGGAAACCACCATTCCACACTGTCACGCACCTGGCTAGGTTGTGAAGAAAAGAGGCTCTGAATGCCTCAGCCTGTGGATGAAGCAGCCCTGGGCTAGGGGCTGCAGAAACACCCACTGTGTGACCTGCACCAAGTGCCTTCCTCCTTTGGCCCTTTGGCTTAGTATTGGGAGGATGTGGAGTTTCTGACAGGATGCTGTAGGAAGCTGCTCTTGTAAACGCCCCCAAGAGCTATGAGTCATCATTATTTCCACATTCTCAACAGGACCATGGTCCTCTTTTCACTTGTCAGCCACCTTAACCAGAGCAGAGAGGGAACTGCTTCCCAGTGGTATACGCTGTTTTTGAGTTTTGGAAACCTTTCCTCCATCAGCTACCTTTTGTCCATCAGCCAAAATGACTCATGTTAATTTGTGAAAGACAACTATTCAGCAGCACAGTTCATAAAAAAAAGCAGTTTTCTGAGAGGGCAAAAGTAGCAAAGTATTTAAGGACTCAGGAAATGACTCACTAGTCCCTTTTTACTTCCTCTTTGAAGCAACAAGTAATTCATAAGACTGACTCTCAGTGGGACCTGCAAGTTTGGGAGCTGGTGGGGGAGCTTTTGGTCCCTGGAAACGGCCTGCAGTGGTTCTGAAGACACTTCTAGGTCACAGTAATTGGCCCTACAGATTACTTCAAAGCTCGGGCCTCAGTCTGTGCATGCAGTAAATACAGACTGGGATGCTCTACCACCTGCCAAGTCCTCCTCATTCTGTGGATATTTCCTTTGCTGCTGTTTGCACACACTTCACCAACTGCCTGCTTTCGATGGGCACCATGAAGAGATGTCAGTGCTTGATTTCCCTATAAGAAAGCTTCGTAGGCCAACCAAGTAAATTCTTAAGAAATGAATTAAAACTTTGTTGGTAAAACATCCTTCTGTATGTCAGCATTTCTGTCA